AAAGCATCTAGAAAACAAAACTTTTCGAAGAAGGAGACAAGGACCCCCCCCCCCTGCTCATCCATCCCCGCTAAAACTTGTCTTCCAGCGACAGAACAAGTTAGCTCTCTTCTCATGACCCCGCCCACCATGGCAACCCAGCTGGGCAATAGTCAGGGTACTCTAGATCCGTGCTTGACATGTGCTTAAAAAAATGTATATTTACAGTACAGTATTTATTTATAGAAACTAATGTTGCATACCAGAACTATCAGGAATAAATATACAGATAAAGGCATGGTTTTTTTTTTGTCAGTTGACTAGGCAATTTAGTGAAGAAATGAATATAAGTCCTAGGCAAGTATATAAGGGCTTTAGTCTGATTTTCTGAAGCTCACTGTGTGTAGTAATTGACCCACTTGATTTGGATCTAAGCTAAGCCCACATAGACACTGAATTTCAACTGAAGAAAAAATGCATCCTAGTTTCTTAATCTTAATCAGTATTAATCTTACACTAAAGGGAAGGAAATAATGTAAACTATCATTACCCATTCACCCCAGAGTTCACAGACTTGTGGTTCCGGAGTAGGTTGAGTCTACAGGTGGAATTTAGCCTTTTTCCTATTCTAAACCTAATAAATTAACTTGTAGTCTGTCAAAAAGTGGTCAGGTTAATATCTGACCAACCTACGGCCCTGGGGGTTTGTGCTGATGAAATAATAGTCCACACTACGTCAGCACCACCGTGGTTGGGTTTGATGCGAACATTTTAGTATTTTATACCTCTGGAGGCATGGAAATGGAACATAAATTACCGGTTAATTCTTTTTATTTTTAAAGAATTGAGTAAAGAAAAAACTTGAATTAATTAAATAAGGTACTTGAAATAATAAACAATGCATGTTTTTTTATTAAGAATATTTATAATTCGGACTTGTTTAACGTTGTATTTGTTTTTTGATGATGTCGTGGATTTCTTGCGTCATTCGTGAAATTTATGCTCGTAAAATGAACGTTTTTATACTGTATTAGCATTGTTGCGTAAGTAATTAATTCTTTCAGCGTCAACATCTATATTTTTCTCTTTCCTTTGAGTGATATTTAAAGTGCTATGTCTTTGAACGATGATGTTTGCTATAAATAGCCTCTCTTAAGTAGACTGTTAGCAAAATAATAGGTAGTGAATTGTAATGACGGTGTTTATAAGTGCAATGGGATAAATCAAGTTTATGGAAATAAAGGAAGATAATTCACACCAACTAAACAATTAGTGTAATAAATCAGTTTTATCCTCTGAAAGTCACTACAATCATGGGGTAGAAAATTCCTCTGTTTACAACTAACTTTCCAAACTCAACATTCCATCCTAAGTGCTTAAGATCAAGAGCGCATCTGTTTTGAGGGGGGTGGGGGAGGTGACACATTTTGTGAAAGTTTGAGAGTAACTAGATGGCCGGAAATGACACTTTTATATTGTAAAATTCATCATCATCGATCTATTTACAATAAATGCTGTATGTACCATAGAAACTTAATTTCTCTTTGATGTATTTACTACTTTATACTTCATGTGCCGAAAACCAATCTTAACTTTACACACTTTTTCTCATACTTCTCAAATTATAAAAGGCATGTGCATTCAAGTCGTGTATTTAACTGTAGGTAATTAATGTTTGTAGGCAGAGATACCGGTATCTTGCTGTGAACAAAGGTATACAATACTCTGGCTGTTGAGCGGTCTTTTGTTAAAACCTGAGTCGTATGTAGTTCATTTCAACAATTTTCAGGCATCTTCTTGACTTCTTGAAATTACATGGCGGACAAAAAGTGAGGGAATCAACCCCCCCCCCTTACAATTATGTGGGGAGACATGTCCCCTCATGATCTGCATCCATGCTTTAGATTTCGTATATTATTGAAATTGAATTCTATTAATATTAGTTTTTTTTAAAGACACCATTTGCCAAAAAATTTGGAAATTCTCAAAAATTCATTTAAAATTTTGAATACTCAATTAAATGGATCAAAAAAGTTATAAAATTACAACCAGACACAGATCGAAAAATAATTTTTTTTTATTCTGATTTACATACATTTTCTGCAAAATATCCTTAAATCTATTAGCCGATAAAAGGGTCTATGCCCCCGGTTCTTAATAGACGGCACGCAGATCACATTTGGCCTGCGAAGAAAATTATTCTGGCCCGCGATAAAATATATATATAAAAATATATTTTAAGAAACTAAAAGTAATAGTAAGTAACTGTGCCAATGTGAAGTATGGGTGACCTTAGAAATATATCTGTTACCAACCAATCGACAACCTCCATGTAGCAGATAAAAAAAAAAAAAAATATTCATTATCAAAGACTTGTTTTTATTTTGAGTGTTTTTGAATTGTTCTTGGCATTAAAACTCTGGTATTTGGTGTGTATATAGGGTGAGTGAAATTACATAGAAAATACCAATTGCATGCTTACTATTAACAAACTTTGTATGGCTGATAACAAAATTGTTGTGTTTTTGTTACAATTCTGCCTTAGTTACATTTTTGGCTACGGGATTGAGTGATTGTCTTGTCCTTACGAGAATTTGTATTGACCTTACGGCAGTTTGTATTGTCCGTACGCCAATTTTTATTGTCCTTATTGCGTGACAGTTTGATTGTTCGTACAACAATGTTTGTCTTTTATTGCCCTAATGGCTGCCCATAAAAAATAGCCCAATTCAGGAAACGACACTTTGCACCCAGTTACACTTGCACAAAAGAAAGGAAGACATGACAAGTTCTGTACCAGTCACCGACAACATTAAAAGCCTGGCTACTCTGCAAAATATCTTGGTGATTCTAACTTGGGTCACAACCGATAGTTTGAATACCAGGGCCTAGTTAATACCACCAAATTGAAGGGAAATTTAAATAGAAAAGTTAAAAGTTGTGTGTTTCAGAAATCCATTAAATATGGCTTCAAACTGCCCTCATTCGAAAATCCTACCTACAGGCCTCCCAACAACCTATGGTTGAAAATATGCTTTATTTTTTTTATTTCAAATCTGTGAAGCCTGGTTATTATTTGGCCTGTGCAACTACTCGAGGACTAGCTGCTTTAAATGTGACAATATACCACTTATCATTCTACGTAAAATGGTTAGTTCCCAACAAACTCTAATTTTGCTAGAATTAGAATTAAGTGGTGGTACCATTTGCTGAGGATGGATTCCCGTCAGAGGGAGCTCTCTCGAAGGAGAACTCAACACATTTGTTAAGGAAAAAAATCATGTAATTTTTACTGATTATGAGGCTGTAAGATCGATTACGGGCCTTAAACACTCAGAATCACTAAATTGAGGCATTTCGTGGCAAAATGGTTAAGTTGTCACACAGGCCAGTATTGAGTAAATGAGCTATAAATGGGAGCTCAAAAAATTTCCTAAATATTCAAATTTGTTTTTCACTATAGATCAACAGTTTAATGTCTTGTTAATCATGTCAAAAAAACTATTATTGAAAGGTACAGTAGTGCTCCAATAATAACTTGGGCTTGAAATTTCCAATTTCAATGAATGACCCTTCGTTTTAAAGATCACTATACTTAGGTATCTAAAAATACCAATAACTTGAATTTCAATTTTTGCGACATCTGCCATTTTGCCACAAAATGCCTCAATTGTTAGAGCTTCCGGGGATTTTTCCTCCTTTACGCCCTTCAGGGGTTCTGGTACATCACCGATCCCCTGCCATTGGGCAAATGTTTTTGTTTTGTGATTGATTTTTAACACAATCAAGAAATAAAAGATCATCATTAGCGAGAAATACACTGTAGTGGTGTCTTATTTTTTCTTTTGCCAAAATATTAAATCAATCTTATGGTGCAGAAATTTTAATTAATATTATTGTACTCTAGTACAATTAAAAGTAGAATAGAATTTGAAAGTGCCAAAAACTTCAGTGCAGCCAACAAGGGGCTTCAGCCACAGCAGTTTTACCTTAGGTACCGAACATAAAGTATAACAGGTTGCTTGAAACTTGGAGATTATCTTTGGCTCATGAGATCAACTCTAAAAATAGTTTAGCCTGAGCTAATAAATTAATCAAGAACGAGGGGTCTCTGCAGAAGAATGCAGCAAAGGTTTTACATAGATTGTTTAAATCACAGCAACAACCAGTTTCTCCCAAGTCTTCCGAGGCCTTCCTCTCTACATCCTTCGGTGATGGAAGTTGAGGGGACCAAGTTAGAGAAAGGCCTAAGAAGACTTGGGAGCAAGTTTTTGCCAGAGATCTCCACAAGCTACAGGATAAGCCATGCAACTGTACAGAATAGAAATGACTGGAAGCAATGCTGTAGCCAGTTATTGGGACAGTTGGCCCAGTCCCTACACATTTTTTCTAATGGGTCCACATTTTTAAAAATGGGTCAAAATTTTGCAATTTTATGCATAAAGTGAGTCCACTTACGGAAAAATGGGTCCAGATTTTTTATATTTAGCCTAAAATAGGTTAAAAGTTTAGGAAGATTTTACAAATTTGTGCGTAAAATGGGTTAAATTTTAAGAGAATGGGTCCACATTATTTGAGTTTACACATAAAGTGAGTTCATTCTAATATTGCCCCGCCTTTGAAAATCATGACTACGACATTGACTGGAGGAAAGCTATCATGTTGGACAGTCCAATGCGTGCTAGCATGGATTAATTACCGACTTTAAATTGATAACGATGATCCATTAATTGACAGAATATTTTTGTTCATATTCAAATGTTTGATTGTTAATAACTTATGTAAATTATGTACAAATTAAGCATATCAAACATGGAATTACATTTTTCAATTGTTTTACCTCATGACAAAAAGTGCATATTTAATGTATGATAAATATCCTAGGTTTCAATGGTTTGTATAAATAAATGTACAGTGTGGGTGAACTCATGTTCACCATTGTTGATAATAAAGTACACCTTATCCTTATCTTAATAAACATAACCGGTTTATTAAAAAAACATACAATTTGTTTTTAAAAGGTGGGTCAGTTACCTCTGGACTGGGAATCTATGACACAATGCAGTACGTGCGCCCACCGATAGCGACGTGGTGCGTAGGCCAGGCGTGTAGTATGGCATCGTTGTTACTAGCAGCAGGCACAGCTGGCATGAGACATAGTCTTCCCAACTCAAGGATTATGGTACATCAGCCATCCGGAGCTGCACAGGTACGGTTGCTCATTGAAAGCTATAATACTCCTTACGTCTACAAATCTCTTCCACCGATTGTCCGTTCTACTTTCTCTTTCTCTTCTTTCAAATCCAACCTTCTTAGTTATCTTTCATCCAATCTTGTGTAACTTTCCCTGTGACCATCTCTTTTTGTTGCAATATTTTTATTCTTGATTTTGTTCTGTTTTGAATTGTAAATTATTTATCATTTATAAACAGTTTATTGTATTTTAAAGTTTTCTATTTATGTTAGTTTAACTAATTATCTTCTTGTTAATTCTTTTGATTAATTTTTGATTAATTTTTTTTCTGTCTAATGTGTCAATTTTAGTTTTCTTCCTTTTTGTTTTGTTTGTTTTTTTTTCTTTCTTGCTTTAATGTTTTCCTTAAATCATTATTTTATATAATTTATATACTCTAGGCATATATGCTTTTTTCTGATTTTTATTATTATTAATTATTTTTTCCTGCTTTAATTTAATTAATTTGTTTATGTTAAAGATCAAATTTAATTTTTGTACTACTGGTTCCTATAGTAACTAGGCCTGGCACGCCATGCACCGTGTTTAACTTTTCTAAGCCGGGCTTTAATCGTTGCGGAGGCTCTTGCATTGACTTTGGGTGACAAAATGACCAATCAGCATGCAATTAGGTATGCTGTGAGCGACCGTACGTTTTGCGAGCAATGTTTTTAAACATGTTTCCTGGTTACGGTTCATTATTATGCAAATTCTCGCCTGGCTAATCCTGCTAGTCTGAACGCCCAGCAACGTTAAGCCGGGCTTAACTCAAGCCTGGCTTTTCTCCAAGTCTGAACGTAGCCTTAAGCACTGTTCAGATTATCAAATTTTCTTTGACAAAAAAACTTGTATGCCCATATTTAGTCACTATGTGCCTATATATGGGCATGATGTGATGTCATCATCATGTCACATGTTATTGTCAAGTAAAATTTGATTGTCTGGACAGGGTTTAAATCAGCTGGGGCAAAAATAAAAGTGTTCTGCAATTAACATCTCGACGAGTTTGATTGACAGATAAACCGACATTTTAATTTCCTTAGACAGCTGGTACACGAAACATACGTGAGCCTAGGCCTCGATGTCTATGCTTGGTTGTAGATACCCAGATTTACACGAGCAGTGACTTGGCCTTTGCCGACAACAAGGTTGAATGAATGCGGCTTTTCCCTCTTCCTTTGGGAGCGAAATACAACAATTCCCCCACCATGTTCCATGAAATAAATTAACACTATAAATATATGATTCATTTGCATACCGCCTACCCTGAATTCTCTTCCTTAAAGAAGGTTGATAGGAAAGAAAATCTTCGCCAACTCGGTAATTCTAGCTGCCATTGTCTAAAGTTTTTGTGACTTTGTGGGCGGGGCTTCACGTCCTTGTCGACATGTCAGTTGGTGTGGTTCTAAACACAATTTGGTGTTCATTTTTTAATCTTCTTAACTGGGGTAAACCTAGAACCATTGATCATAAATAATTGGATATGTGCTAGGACCAATTCATGGTTATCACTTCCAACAGCGCCGTAACTTTTAAATTCTGATGCTGGTTTCTGTATTCATTTTTGTTAGCAATTACTGTTACTGACCTTTTTTTATGTTCCTTCTCGTGTGCCAAAACAAATTTAAATGTACAAACATATTTTTTTAAAATTTAATTTTATAGTCATATATCATGAAAATGGTGTGACTAATAATATAGGGGACGAGTAAACTCGTCGCCGGTACAACACTTCTTATTTCCTCTGCCAAGTGCGAGTTTTCTCGTTCGCTTTTTGCATGGGTTGGTATACTGTGTGTTCAGAGAGTGCCACCACTCCTGTAATCGAGTGTACTGCTGGCAATATAACACAACAAACATACAGTATACGTTATACGTACGTTATCGTTTAGGTGTATCTTCCTCGAATTACCAGCCGTTAAGTCTGTGGTTCTACAATGTATAATAAAGAAGTAATAAACTCTGAAATGTTACCCAGATTTTATGAGTATAGTCGTCCCAACGCCCCCAGCAACACTTTGAGATGTCCGAAAGGGGGGCCCGAAAGGGGGCCTAAAGTTGGGCCGATCGAGACAACACTGCATGCCCCTGTGAAATTTTTGTGTTCTAGACGCCCAAAAATAACATTTGAGGCGTTCTGGGCTAATCTTTTTTTCCTTTCTTTCTTTTTTTTACCTCCCAAAAGGGGGGTCCGGGGCCGGGCCGTTCTCCCCCCCCCCAAAATCCGCCCCTGTTTGACACGTATACTAGTCTCTTGCAGCAAAACGTGTTAACAGGAGAATGAACCATTGAGGTCATTTTACCACCTAGAATGGATTTAATTATCATACAGACACATCACTATCGCCAACCATTAGAGTAGATACATAGTTCTCAACTGCCATCATGAAAAAAATGATAGTAAATTTATTTAAAAAAAAGTGATTGTTATTACATATTGTTCTTAGAAGCTGAAAATAGGTTAGAGGGCTGGTAATGCAACCTTTCTACCCTGACTTGAGTTTACAGTTTACTTGGGATTTCCATGTAACAACATTATGCCTTATATGGGCTAATCACGTAAGGTTTTAACGTAATTGATAGTGTAATTTGAGCTTAAAGATGGATTGTCTAATGCAAAATACCCCCAAAAAATTCATAAAAATCGTTTGTAAACTTTATAACTTGCTCATTTTGAGTTGACATAAAAATTTGAAAATAGAAATTAGTGTATTTAAAATTTTACAGCGAAAAAGGATGGAAGTGATTTATTTTTTTTATTTTAATCATTATCTAGTATCAAAATCAGAGTACACATTTTTAAAATACTCTATCATGTTAATAGTTTGTATGTTACTGCAAAATAAGCAAGTTAATTTCAAAATTATTTTTTATGAATTGTTTGTCATTTTCAGGGGACAATACACGTTTAAATACTGATTATGTCTTTCTCCATGTGTCAACATGTCATGATATATCTGCCAGGCTGCCCTCATGGAATCCATTAATGCGTGGTTTAATGAGGCTATAACCATCAAGTTACATTTCAATATTTTAATGACAGTTTATAATTATGATGATTGATATTCTTTCATATTGTGTATAAAAAGTTAATGGCAGTATGTTATTACTTTTAATCAAAAACATTAATTACTTATTAATACAGTAATAATAATAAAAATAAGTTAAAACTTTTTTTTTTCAAAATTGAAGTTTTTATTTTATTATTTTATTTGTGCTTTACACCTCAATCACAAAGCAAAAAAAAAAAAAAAAAAATACGTATAAAGTGGGAAAAAGTGTCAGCAAAAAATGAATTAATCACACTACAATATGAAGAGGTCAATTAAAAATACCTGAAAAGATATGATAGTGATTTTTGATTAACTAAAAAGCTTTTTTCTATATTTTGTATTTTCTGGAGGTTATTTAATTTCTCAATGCACAGTTCCAAAGATCAGTTTTAAAAGCATTTTGTTTTTGTTTTCGTTCCAATGGGCCTAATTTTGTTTTTAATATTTTTTTTTGGTGTCAATATTGGGTCATTCCACCTAAAATCAACCAAATTTTTGGGACAATACTTTAACTTTTGTTTCAGATTCACTACAAATTTTTTTCTGTCTTTAGGGCCAAGCAACAGATATTAAAATCCAAGCAGAGGAGATATTAAAAATGAGAGCACAAATCAATGAGCTTTATGTTAAACACACGAAACAGCCTTTAAGTACCGTAGGTAAGTCAATCTACTGTATTTCACAATTTCTTTCTTGTTTTTGCTATGGTCCTGTCATCATCGTAACTACCTTACTATGACTTCTGTTTTAGTATAATGTGAAACCTGGGAACTTTTTGTTTTTTTTTTATTTGGCAGGGAAACACTGAATTGCATCAAAGTTTACAGTACATATAAAAATCCTTTTAAGCTTATAAAAATTTGTAAAATGAGACATACAGTTGCTACCCCAGGATATATTTTATTTTGGGGGGGGGGAGGGGGCTGAGCTGTCTGAGGGGGACTTGAGCTTGTAGGCTCGAGCAGGGGTAAGGGTTTGAGAGGAGTTTGTAGAGTGAACGCAAACAAAAAATGGATTCATCAGTTATAGACTTACTAATTTGTATAATTCTATCTCTAATGCCGAACACACTTTAGATATTTTTTATCAACCTTTAAAATCGTTTAAAAAGAAAGCCTATCTACTTTTATAACAACATTATTATCATCACAATTAATTCTGGTATTATCAATTGTATTTACTTAGGTTTGCTGTTTTATATTTTGTGCTATTTTCTATTTTTATTGTATTAATTTTAATGGTTTTATAATGTAATTTCTATATATTGTACATAAATATTTTATATTGAATTTTATGAATCCTGTAATTGGCATTTTACGCTGTTGGATAGAATGAAATAAAATAAAATAAATAAATAAATAAAAAGAGGCACTATATAAAATGTTTCAGTTTAAAATGTCTGCATACAGAACAGGGTCCAACACTTTTACGGTTTTTACATTGAATTTAACACTTGGTACTATGAATCCAGCTGCAAATAGCGTGGTATTAATGATTATAGATTAAAAAAAACAAGAATAAAAAAGAAAAGACATAATAATTACACCTGGATTTTTCACTTTTAAAGGAAAGCATTCAGGTATTTGGTGGTTTACTATATTTACAATTAGAAGTGTCTGTATTAAAATCTGGGACCACCGTCCTCAAATATTTGAATATAACATCAAATGTTTCATTTAAAGAAATCGTATACCTTACAACCAGCGTTTTTTATCTAGGATTATTGACATGGGGGTGATGAGGGGGAGCTGAGGTTAAGTGTGCTGGTCCAATGATTAAGTGAATGGAGCTAAGCTGGCAAAAATGGGGTGCATGCAGTGATTTTTATCTACTTAATGCATAATTTTTTTGTAGGAAATTTTCAGTGGTGTCTCTAGGGGATGGGATACATGCTTCCTATGTGTAAGTGCACCCATACACTGCCAGTGCAGATCAAAATGTTTCATGGTTAGCTGATAAATTACATTTTTTATCACTTACCTCTAAAGAAAATGCATAAGATTCAAAATTCAAGCACTATAATAATAATAATAATAATACCGTATTTATATAGCGCCTAACAGAACACAGAAAATAATGTATAGTCTTTTCGACACTACTAATCAATTCCTTAGCCTCCAAAACATGTATATGCTCATTAAAATCACAGTAATATGCGTTCCAAAAAAAAAAATGTTTCTAAATCTCTTACATATTGTAACCCCCATCCCCTCAATTTCTTTTTTGGCCCCACTCTCATTTTTCAACCAATTTTTTAAAAAAGGTGACAAAAGACTGTGAACTTCTTGAAGCCACCGAATATTATCATCAAAAGCAGTGTGTGAAGGAGTTTGCAATCATAACATCCAATTTTCAAAATAAGTTTGCTTGTGGACTTCAGATTTAAATCAAAAATTCACTTTGTTCCTCTCACCTATTTTTGTATTTAATCTCCGATTTAAGACCTCCATTTGGTATTTTTAAATAAATGGTATAGATACAGTAGGTGATTCATGAGTGTGACTGCCTAGCGGGTTGTAAAGATGCGCTTATAGTAGTAGCCCAGCAATGACAGGGACTGAAATGAATCATAGCATCGGGGTAACCACTTATTCTTCCAAAGATGCAATGGGTTCTTTAAAGTGTACACAAGCCAGATCTATACACTGGACCTCCATATTAACTCCTTTTATACAGTGACTTGGCTGTAGAAACCGAAACCTGGGCAAGGAGCAGCTGAAACCAGTGCCAAATGTTAAGGCTGGTGTTAGTGGGTTAGCTGCCCTTTACAGTATAACCAACCACTATTACTATGTTTAATTTTAAAATCATTACACAAGCTCAATATAATAATTATATGTAAAGAATTTAGGAAAGGAATTATTTATGCATCTGTGAATTGATTAGGAAAATTTAGAGCTAATTTCCAATTGAAAGCTATTAACTCCCAATAATGCAATTAGGTGGGATTGTCAGCCATTACAGACAACCTAATTTAAAGACTGTTAATACCATAGCATGCAAATCTATGTAAATTGTAATAAAATTAATTTATCCTCCACTGGATAGTTTAATATATTAATTCAGTATTTATTTGACAATCAAATCTCTTTCATGTCCATTCTTATTTTCTGTATGTGATTGATGATGTCCAGAGTCCAAGCCTTTCATAATTATTAATTATTAATTCAAAGCATTTACTATTTGATACATTGTAAACATAAACTCATAAAACAGTAGAAGTAATGAAAATATTAATGAAAAAAAATTAGATGTGATAATTCATGAGCTTTATTACAAGTCTCGTGGGAAAAACACATGAATCATACTGGATAAATTTAATCATTTTTGTTTATTTTATTTTTTTTTACCTAGCATCCTGGGCCCTGTCGACCCCAGACCCCAGGGCACTTGCCCCATATGGCCAGGCTTCTGTGCCACAGATTGCAGCTCAGTTGTGAATTACACATCATAATTAGTATAAATACTGTGAATAATGCTGACCTTTGTAAACAAATAAATTATGTAGACTTACATAATTTATTTGTGTATTGCAAAGCACATTTTACAAAGAACCCATTTAATAATAAGTGCACATTGATTTCAAAATGTTTATAATACGAAGCTGACAGCCTGCTGATAACATTAACATGTTGATGTTTATATAAAACACCGGCTGGTTTAAGTCCTACCGTTATTTCTGATCTTATCAGTAAACAATCACGCAAATGCAAATAGGCCTTAGATCTACAGGTGACACGTATCTCCTTAATGTTCAATCATATAGCTTGACAACAAACAGTGATTAAAATGTTTCACGTTACAGCACCAAAGCTTTAGAAAAGCTTCCTTTGGATTTAAGAGGAGCATGGCAGATACCCGGTAGATTAGAGGACTAGAGGACTAAATTTAATTGATTATAGAGTGCTTAATTTCACCAGGTCATGAAAAATATAGTCAAGTATAGAAACATGAACATTAAAAGCTATCCTTCCTTTTATTCAAATGTATAGCTGAAAAAGATTCATAACATATGAAAGTTTACTGTCGGATCCAGGAATTTAAAATACGGTGGGGGGGGGGGGGGAAGCAGAGAAGAAATTTCACAGATGGAGGGTCTATCTCCCCAGCCCCACCATGGTTGGGGCTGAGGCAAGAAAATTCATGATTATGGCACCTTTGGGCGGATGGAAATGGCATCCTTAAGAAAATTTTAGGTAGAATTTTTGGTTTTCAATTTTTTTTTAATTTGGAAAATTTAGGGGAAGGGGGAAGGGGTGGGGAATCGGGTGCCCCTCTAGAAAAGCTTCCTTTGGATTTAAGACTGTACCTTCCCTTGGTATGTTTAGGACAATGCTGAAGACTTTGTACCCTAGCATTAGTTATACATTTATGTATTGATACTTTAATTATGATAGGTTCCATCCTCCATTATGTCAACTTAATACTATACAATACTAAACCAACCATTGCTTTTCGGTGTTCTAAGGCCTACTCTGACACTATCAAATTTTATTTGACAAAACATGTGATATGCCTAAATATGGTAATGATGACCGTATAAGTACATCATGGCTATATATGGGCAATGCCGTAGCCAGCTATCGGGACAGTTGGGACAGTTCCACACAATTTTTCTAATGGGTCCACTTTTTTAAAAATGGGTCCAAATTATGTAACTTTAATGCATAAAATGGGTCCAGATTTCTCATATTTAGCTTAAAATGGGTAAAGATTTAAGGAAATGGGTCCAGATTTTTCATATTTTTGCGTAAAATGAGTCGACATTGTTTGAATTTACGCGTAAAGTTGGTCAACCCTGATATTGTCCCACACTGTTTGAAAATGCTGGCTACGGCATTGTATACGGGCATACAACAGTTATTTGTCAAAGAAAATTTGATAACCAGGATAGAGCATTCATTTTCAGGTATGATGATGTTTAGTTCTTTCAGGGAACAGTGAAATTACATGGAAACATCTCGAACCGAACCCGCGGTACCACCGTTTTTATCATAATCAACTGATAAACAATTTACAACTATTAATTGCAATTGCATTGTGCATGCTCGCTATCGTGTTCTCATTATGATCGACATCGTATCATACCATGATTATACCTGGGAACAGTTAAATTACACCACCTAAATGTTATACAGAAACAATAAATGGGGACTAGGCCTAGCCCTACATTGCGACGATTGTTTAATATTTTGCAAATATGCTCAATGGCTAATGGTCTATATTCTATTTTAAAATACCAATCAAACAGTAAATCTAGAGTATCAATATTTTAACTATCAACAGTTCTCGTATTAACGAGATAATATCTCGTAATTACGAGATAATATCTCATAATTACAAGATAATTATCTCGTAATAACGAGATAATTATCTCGTAATTACGAGATAATAGGGTAAGGGTGGGAAATCGTGGACAGTATCAAAGAGTATATAAACAGAATAGAGTCCACAGCTATTCTTAATGCACGCGAGTCAGCCTGATGCCCGATCTTTATATTTCATTAATGAAAATTGTTTAGATATTTATTTGAAAAATATATTATATGAAATAATGTAATCGTTAATGCTTTAATAATATTTGATATTTGATATTTGAATGTTAAACACAGACACAATGTATACACAGGCTTATAGTACTAGAGTCCAGTTAAAATAT